AAAAACTGAAGGAATATTCCTGTCAAACAAAAGCCTTTAAAAACACTTTTTTTCCGCGCACTGTCACTAATTGGAATGCTCCTACTGCCGATCTGGTGAACTGCGAAACCGTTCAGTCGTTCATGGAAAAACTTAAACACCAGCAACCCACTTGACTTTGATCTTTCTTTGCGCTTCGCCCTCTATTTTGCCACTGCGTATCCTGAAGAGGCGTCTATTTATGTTCCACTTTTTATCACTTTTTTCATATCAATGCATTGTATTTTTGAAATGTTGTGATTTTTGAACCGTTATATGATATTTGTTTCTTAGTTCTGTATGAGCAGATGTTTGTCATCATAGTTTTTTTTGTATGTGTACGCGTAAACCGCTACAATTGTTTAAGTACTGGCGTTTTACTTTGATGTACTAGTTCTTCATAGTGTAAGCTCTACGTAATGTGTTTCCTTTCTTGTTGTATCTACATATTTGTTTCCTTTTTTGTATCACCCACCCCTGCCTAAGGCCTCATGTGTGAGGCTGGCAGTACTTCGGAAATAAAATAAATTATTTTTGGCATCCATGTATTTCTTTAAAAATACAAAAATAAGTAGGCTTTTCTAATTTAAATAGATAGTTCAAATTCGCTAAATATATAATTGATAGGACACTATTTCACAAGGCATGACTAGCTTGAATAATTATCGAAGTAGTATGTTTTTAGAAGTTTCCATTAGCGTAGATGGGTATATAAATGAATATATATTTTCCATGCTTCCGAAGTATTATTTTTCACATGAAAAAGGCACGTCAATAATTTTGAAATATCTTAGTAAGAACTTTTTGAAATTTTAGGAACTTTCAATTTCACGGCTTTTCTATCAGGGCAGCACGTAACAATCTAAACAACTCGTTGCGCCCGAGTTGTGTTCCTGTAATTTTTTTTTCTTTCGTGAATACGACCTGTACATGTGCGTGGTTTTGTTCGCCCAAAATGAATTGTATTCCCGTAAAATACGGCAAGTATAAGCTGAATACTTTGAATACTTTGAGGAGGCTTGATTTAAAATTGCAATCTGTTTAAAATAAATGAATTAGTGTATTATCGCCATCAGCATTTTATAACATGTTCACTGCTTGGCAAAGCCCCGTCTCCGCGACCTTTATTGCCAATGGCTCCTGCGTGGGCTGATTTCATTTTATGCCTCTAAATTGTTTGGCTTCGTCGCTACACGTAATCGTCTGCTGGCACAGTCACACGACCCAAACCAATCACTTAGCCTCTCTGTAACAATTTATTGGCTAATAAATATTTTGACTACCACCACGCACCTCTTGGTATTCATGGGGACGCTCTATTTGACAATGGGTCATCTGGCTTGACGTGCCCTACCCCGGTTTAGGTCTTTAAAACGAAGGTGTTTTATGCCTGGATTCACCACGGCTACGCTGACGTATTTCCGTCACATAAGTGACGTCATGAAAATACACTGAGAGATTGCTAAAAAATAATTAGGTAAGCATTTCTGGCGTGGAATTGAAACAGAAACCTTTCGATTTTCAACACGCGACGCTAACCACAATGCCACGAAGTGGACGCTGTCTGGAATGCGAATGGCAAGCTGTATATTCAGGGTGTCCGAGGTAACTTTAGCCAGAATTTTAAAATATACCAGCGCACGCGATTACGACGCGACAAAATGCACGTTGCTCACCTGCTGCCGGGAGGTAGTCAGATCATTTTTCTGTAATCAAATATTGTATAAATATATATCTTTAATTATCTAACTTTTAAGGAATCAAAGATAAATAAAAGTTTCAATGAGAAAGTTGTAGATCGGTTTGCAAAATATCCGATTACACAGTTTTGAACATTATATCTGTTAAGTATTAGTGTTTTCCTGCTCAGTACAAATGCCCGTGAAGTACAAAAAATACCACGTGACAAACCAGCCCGTGCGCCTGTGCGCTCAATGATTCTAATGTTCCCTAACGTTCGGCGTACGAACGACCATAGCATTTGCCCCATTGTGCTGTCTCGGCAGAGCCGCAACGATGGTGGTTGCTTTACGATGAACACGTTTTGCTATCGGCCACAAAAATAATAACCGCTGTGACTGCTTATCGCTGTCGTAAACCGGTGTGATGGAAGCGTGTCATTCGTACGCGGAACTCAAGGGAGCACAAGAATCATCGTGCGCAGTGGCGCGCGAGCGGGTTTGTCACGTGGTATTTTTTGATATTTCAGGCGCATTTGTCATTAGCAGAAAAACACTAATAAGTAACAGATATACAGTTAAAAACTATGTATTTGGACGCTTTGCAAAGTGATCTACAACTTTCTCATTGAAATTGCCCCGTCGCGGTGGTCTTGTGGCTAAGGTACTCGGCTGCTGACCCGCAGGTCGCGGGATGGAATCCCGCCGGCGGCGGCTGCATTTACTATTGAGACGGAAATGTTGTAGGCCTCTGTTCTCAGATTTGGGTGCACGTTAAAGAACCCCAGGTGGCCTAAATTTCTGGAGCACTTTACTGCGGCGTCTCTGATAATAATATGGTGGTTTTGGGACGTTAAACCTCACATATCAATCACTCGAATCAATCAATTTCTCATTGAAATTTTTTATCCATCTTCGTTGCTTCAAAAGATAGATGATTGAACAGATATAAATAAACAACATATGGGAACACAAAAAGGAGTCTGACTAACTCCAGGCTATGGTGAGCAACATGCACTTGGTCGCGTCGTAATTACGTGTTCGCGCATATTTTTAAACTGTGGCTTAAGTTACGTGGGACACCTTGTATACACCATACACCATTTGGCAGTCCTCAGAGCCTTGAAACTTTATCGCCTTTTTGTTATCAGTGGCGAGATGGCATGACGGACTTGCACTGAATAAGGTCTTTTGATAAAACAAGTTTTCATGGTGTTGAAACTCTCCCCTTTGTTCCTCGCTTATGTCCTTGGGGTGCCCCATAGAATGTTCAAAACTGAGAATCCACCTAAGACATTTTTCTCGGCTTCCATCACATCACCTCGCCCCACTTCGAACTTCTAGGCCCCACTCATCGTTCAGCGCAACTGTAGCTCAGCATTGCGCAGTGCTTCTATTGCACTTCCCACAAGCAGCACGGCCGCCGATACCATTGTGGTGCTTACACCCACTCAAAGCCCTTCTCACAATTCCTAGCATCCAAAATTAAGAAAAAGTCGTCGCATCTAGCCATGAAACAGGCCAGATTACTCTTCCTGCAAGAGAAGCACAACGGACGCCTTCACATTTACATGGATGGCTCGGCATTTTCAGTACATTCAGCAGGAGCGGTGGTTATTCCCGTGAGGCACATCACAATTAAATTCATGACATCGCATTTGACGTCGTCGACAGCTGCAGACTTCGCCACCATACGTGCAACTCTGGAGTTTATAGTTGAAGAACCTTCGGGAACTTGGTCTATCTTCTCTGACTCAAAGGCAGCTCTTCAATGTCTTATGTCACCCTTTCACCATAGACCTAATGAACAATTAGTAGCTGAAATAAAACTTCTTCATCACCAAGCAATCGAGAAACAGCACAGCATAGTGTATGAGTGGATACCAGGTCATTGCGGTATATATGGCACTGACCGCGCAGATGAGGCTGCTAGATCTTCACACGACGGTACCCAATACACAGCCATCCCGTTCTCAAGAACCGACGCAGCTACAAAACTTCGTTCGCTTGCACGTGACCTCACACTGGTGCAGTGGAACTCAACAGACTTCACAAACGCGTGCCTGCATAACTTGGATCGCGATCTGCAGCTTCATCTTCCCTCGGGGATATCTCGAGCTGAGGAGACTCTTTATGCCGCCTGTGGCTTGGAGTGACCTTCACGAACGCATACTCCTATCTCATTGAAATGGCCTGCTCTTCTATATGCAGTTACTGCAGCTGCGAAGAAATTATGGCGCACCTTCTATGTGAGTGCACCCATTTCAACGTGCCAAGACAAGAACTGACTGCGTGCGTCTACTTGAGGTGTGCGCTAAAAGTTTTCGAGCTACTTGCCGTTCTTAACGTGACTATGCGATTTGCTGCTGTTTCTGCATCAATGCACAATAAACGATAAAATATATCTGTAAAGACACGTTTCACTTTTGTGTTATACCAATTCGTGTATAGTGGAATCAGGCACGTTTTTTTTCTCTTGGTATCTACGGTGTTTCAAACACACAAAATATCAAAGAAAAAAAAGGTTTCTACTCCGTGACGTCTGTATAGAGCTTTCCTCTACAACAGGGGTTGGCAACCTTCTCAATCAGAGAGCAAAGTCGCATGAAGCTGATGAAGTGGGTTGGGGGGGGGGGCGGCAACGCGGGGAGGGCGCAGTGGTAGGCGTATGTGCAAGCAAACGTAAAGTTTGGCCAATCAACAATATTTGAGAAAATATAATTTGCCACCCACGTCTGCTTTCTGCACGCACGTCATAAAGTGACAATCAACCATATGTAACAGGTAAAAATGCCAATTTAGGGTAAACCTGCCATATCCTTTATTAGATCCAAAGCGAAAAGGGAAGGAAGTAGGGCTTTGACGTCGTGCTTAGAACTGCATAATACTGCTCTAGGGGTCACGTCCGGCCCGTGGGCCTGAAGTTACCGATTTCTGCTCCAGAACATAAGACGATAACTAAGTTGCTATCGCTGCATACAGAGCCCTAAACGTCAGGCTCTCGACAAACTTAACTGGACTCTTCAACTTCTCAAATGTTCTTCTTATCCACATTTCTGTCAAAAATGTTGATAATTATGTCATATGTAGGATTACAACGAAAATTTTACTAATATTTTGAACTATTATTTAGCCTTTCCGTGAACCATTCAATAAGTGAAGGTAGCTCGTTCGAGTAGTTTTGGTTCACGTAAAAAATGGTTTAGTTAGGTAATTTATTCCTATGGTTGAGAAGATTGCCTGTTGGTTAGGTCCTTATGAAAACAAATATATATTCAAAAGCGTAGCCACCAGTTTACTTACCTACTACCACGTCTTCGTCCAATACTCTTCCAATAATTGGGACAGACGGAAAAAGACGCAGCGATTCCTGAAATAAAGCACAAAGTTTTTAAAACCTCTTTAAACTACTTTGTCTGTTTCCCAGTCATCAAAAAAGAACACTAAAGCAAAAGAAAATTATGAGATATAACGTAAACTCAAGAAAAAAAAATTACCTTCCAATTTGCATCAATTGCTTGCGCTGACCATGAGCATTCAGATGCTAGCAAACGTAAACATTAAAAATGTTTAGGAATAATGAGAGTTTGGGCAACGTGATCACTGTTGCAATGTGGACTGATAAAGTGCAGAACATTAATCTGCTCACGGTTTTAATTTCAAGCTTATCCGGCCTTCTGCAGAGAGTTCTTTATGAACTAGCTGTGAACTTTGATGTCAGTGGTAGAGCATCGAACGCGTTATTCGGTGAACTTTGATGCGAACAACTCGCATCTAAGCATCAAAATATTATTGTGCAGAGCTTTCGGTTTACACGCGGTAGGCTGAATTAAATAACATGTAGCTTTGTTGTCCTGCCAGCGATTTAATTAACTCGTTGTGATGAGCACGCCATACATGTTTACCATGTGCAGACAACAACGTGCAGTTTACTTTCTCTTTCTTCTTTATTGTTTCCAAAATCACCCCTTTTAATAAACCATGATAGAGCAGTAAGGAAGGTAAACTTCAATAATATGTCTATGTCTACGTCATTTGCAAAATTTGGCCATAACTATTATTTTAGCTTTATTCTGGGGTGCGATGTACCGAAGTCACGGTATGAGCTACGCCGTATGGGGCGATCGCGAGCTATTTTTGACCGCGAGATCCAGGCAAGGTGGAGCCAAGTGACAGGTATTATATGCTGATACAAAAGTAGTACTCTATCTATCTACATATATCATTAGTAAGGTATGCGGTAGCATTTTCATATAGCGGCCTTTTCCCTTGTCCAATTTAGAACTTACGTCATCGAGGACTTTTACCTCGGTTGTCACTGTCCATTTTCAACGACGAAGGTTGACCATATTCTCAATCGCATTAGAAAAAAAATAACAGCTGCAAAACCACAGGTGAAGACTATGTGCATGGAATACACGCTAAACGAACGCTGCATGCGATGCCGCAGCACGGCTTCTTCATGAGCCCGCATCTGTCCACATTGCGAAGCGTTCCTTATAGCTCGTGTTTCTTTTTAATTTCCGGAACACTTTTTTAGGCAATCAGGCTGCTTATCAAGGCTTCTTCGGTAAAGAAGTCATAGGCGAAATTGGTATTTTGATGGTTGATTCACTGCTTGACTACTGGCCCACAGATCACGTGACTCAACCCCGTGCCGGCGGCCGCATTTTCAGAAAAGGTCGCGCTTATATTACCAGTATCTGAAGCTAGTCCCATGGACTCCACACATGGCCAACGCAAAACCTTCATGCATGAATAAAAATGAAGGATAAAACTACCTTGAAGCAGATGTCCAGGTACTTCATCCTCTTGAGATCCTCCCCCGTGATGTCTCTCTTGTTGTCCTCGCAGAAAATATCGTCAAGCTCCTGGTGGACTTTTGCCAACACTTTAGGATGCAATCCTAACATGTAGAACGCCCAGCCAACTGCTGATGTAGTAGTGTCGGTGCCCTGGAAAAAAAAGTGTGAAATATAAATATTTGTGAACTACGTTTGCAATTTCAGGCTTCAGTGACAGCGAAACGTGGACGTGATCGAGGAATAGAGTCATGAGGATGTGCACAGAAATGAAAAATTGTGCTCGTAATCGGCCCCAATTATATGACATTTCCTCACTAACGTTCTCATAAAAATTGACACTGGATTTAAATAAGTTACAGTTATAGAGTAGTCAATATTGAAGCGATGAATAACATATATTGCCTTGTAGCATTACCAGAAAATCCAGCTTTCTGAGTAAAATGTTATTTATTACCGCATTTATTTGTATGACATAACATGCACAGATGGTCTAACACATTAACGTGCCCTACCAGCTTTCCATTGTCCCCACCATTTACAACCGATCTTTCTCCATTAAACAAATCGTCAGTACTTTACCCTCATTTGTTTATGAGTAATACTTGGCATGAGAAGATCACAATTGCTATGGTCGCTAAAAGCACGACGATGGCCATGTTATATACAACGAAGCCTTCAAAGATTTTCCCCAGCGTCGCAAGTAAGCGAATTGCGCCTCATGGGGAAGTCAATAACTTTGCGAAAACAAATTTAGCAACTTAGCTTACTTTTAGCGTCGACAATGAGTTTGTGCTTCGGAGGTGCAAAGAAGAGCGCTAGTCGGTCAATTATCTGTGGTGAGTTTCGAAACAACCACGCCATCTGTACACAGCGTTGCGAGACTGAGGTGAAAAACAAGGACGTCTTTTTGTGTGCTTACCCTTGGCTGGTGGCTCTTTTGTCGGTGTTTTAACACCACGCGCAGTGTAAAAATTGTTGTGTTTAAGCCCGACGTTCAGGCTGTCACTGCTGTCTTGCTGCGCATCACGTCGTCTCGATTACTATAAAGTGGACGCTCACAGTATTCATCCATCCACCTACTATTTTTTTAAAAATGCTCACTGCAGAATACAGTACGCCTATTATTCAATACAAGCTGTTATTTTCATGTGAACTCTGCTTATAAAACTAATAAATATTTTGCTGCGCCAGTGCACTGGAAAACACAGTCGTAGAGTCTCCGCCTGATGTGAAGCCATAGAAGCTTGCGAACCCTATTTACGTGAGCACGCGCAATAATAGGATTTCAGGTAGCAGTACGTTTCCAGCTGTACACTGTTAAGATGTAACTAACAGCACAGATGCATCTAACAATCTAGAGCTCACCGCGAACAGCAAGGAATCGATATCTTTCTTGACGTCGTCGATGCTGTAGCGACTGTCTCGCAGATGGGTCCTCAGAAATCGGTCAACAATGACAGAATCTTGAACTCGGTCATCTTCTTCGCCACAGTCTCCCGGCATGCTTTCCATCTCTTCGGCAATCTGTTGCAGTTTTCCTTTGCGCCGCTCCAACACCTGGTTTGGGAACATGCGTTTCACTACGTTAAAATTCGGCAGATCCCACGTACCTAGGAATCAGCGTTACGCGAAGCATGCGGAGGGAAGGTGACCGTCTTGAAATTTTTGATTGAGCTACATGTCGTTGATTTGATTTATTGATATGTGGGGTTTAACGTCCCAAAACCACCATATGATTGAGAGACGCCGTAGTGGAGGGCACCAGAAGTTTTGACAACCTGGGGTTCTTTAACGTGCCCCAAATAGGAGCACACGGGCGTACAGCATTTACGCCTCCATCTAAAATGCAGCCGCCGCAGCCGGGATTCCATCCCGTTACCTGCGGGTCAGCAGTAGAGTACCTTAGCCACTAGACCACCGAGGCGGGGCGAGCTACCCGTCATTAAACGATGCTAAATATATGTACAATTGTTGCACGCACAGACATATGTTGAAGAGTTGCAGATGTTTATACAACCAGTTGTTGGCACTTGCGCAACGATGCCAACTGAAACATACGAATTAGCAACACCAGAAGCTGATATTAAGCACTAATTCTCGCGAAGATGCTGGCGCTGCACACTGCTACATAAATAAACTTCAGCGCATGGCAACCTAGCATAATTGACGTTAACCTGACGTGACGGCTGTATTAAAGGAGTACATATGTGATGTTCATAATATTAGGTAAGCAGCACTGTAACCACAATTGACGTTTCACGAAGATTAGCGCCTATTTGAAAAGTAGTTCCGAAACCTGGCGTAGCTCACTGGTAAAATGCGTCATTGTCACGCAGATTGCTTGGGTTCGATTCGAGCTGAGACCCTGATATTTATTCTTTGCATTCGTGGGGTCGATGCCACCAATGTCAGGTGTTTTCTTAACGCTGGCGCGTTAAAATGGTCCATGTGTGTTCTCGTCGTTCTTGGGTATACATACGAAGTTTAATCACCTGTGGCACATACCCGCATACCAAGGACACATACCCGCCCGTGGGTATGTGCCGCTGTCTGGCGGGAAGTGTTTGACAACGCACGTGACAGGATTGTGACATTGTTTATGTCTTGACCAACGGGTCATATTCGTCAAACCATTTTACCCTCCCATGTTCATTTTGGTTCACGCCAAGTTAAGGGAGTGACCACCAGAGCACCCAAACCTAAGTGGCTAGATAGATAGATAGATAGATAGATAGATAGATAGATAGATAGATAGACAGACAGACAGACAGACAGACAGACAGACAGATAGATAGATAGATAGATAGATAGATAGATAGATAGATAGATAGATACGCTCAAAGTCGCCGAAGTTCGCAAAAAATGCTTCGCATTTAAAAATTGTCCCCGTATCTGCATGTTACACTGCAAATGTCGTCGAAAGACGATAGCTTGCGTCTGGAGAGAGTGAACAAAATGTTTATTTGATGTTCTGTGCAAAAAAATCGGTGAATGGTATTCTGGAGGCGCTAAGTTAGAGTACCTCTAGCATGCAGCGGAGGCGAACGAGCGCATCAAGTCACGTCCCATGTGAGACATGAGCGCTATCTGGCAGTTATCTTGGAAAAGAAAGCGTACGGTGTGCGCGCCCTTCTCTGAGGTGATAGGTGTAAACCGCAAGGCGATGGGTATGTGCCACCGTGTCATCTTGGCAAAACGATGGAAACACTTCACTTCTCGTGCAAGCGTTGCATGGTCAGCGCAGCGTGATAAACGCTACGGTCCTAAGAATTACTTATGTATGCCTTTGCTAGTAAAACGACATACGTACAGAATATTAACGTGTTCTTATGGTTTCTCAGATATGCCCAATAATTGCTTTTAATTGGCAGCCGCACATGTATTGATTGATTGATATGTGGGATTTAACGTCCGAAAACCACCATATGAATATGAGAGACGCCATAGGGGAGGGCTCCGGAAATTTCGACCACCTGTGATTCTTTAACATGCACCCAAATCTGAGCACACGGGCCTACAACATTTCCGCCTCCATCGGAAATGCAGCCGCTACAGCCGGGATTTGAAACCACGACCTGCGGGTCAGCAGCCGAGTACCTTAGCCACTAGACTACCCCGGTGGGACAATCGCACAAGTATGCACGCTGAATTTTGAGCAATATTAGTGTGCGTTGCGGATTGGGTCGGCCATTTGGAGTATCGCTTGGTCACTTTGGTGCCGTTTACGGTACCATTAAGGGCGGACAAATAGAAAATTTTACAGACATATGGACAGATAGACAGACAGACCAAAATTTTTGCGTTGAAGGTTCCCAAGAAAGACTATCGTCTTTAAAAAGAGTGAGAGCCGCGTTTGCACACCAGGGTGCCAAAGTCAACAGAACACGGAACGTTCAGAATTTCGAGATAGAATGTCCTTGTCACTGTCATTCAGGCACTGAAGATGCGTTATAAGTGGTGTGAATGCAGCACTTTCTATTCATATAACGAACTGTAGTCTGGCTTGTTAATATGTTTGTTTATATCCTGCACTTGGAGTCGGTCAGATAATCATAATTGTTAGGGTTTTACGTTCAAAAACCCCCATATTATTATGAAAGGCGGCGTTTTGAAGAGCTCCGGAAATTTGAATCACGTGGGGTTTTTAACGTGCACCTAAATCTAAGCACATCGGTCTCGGGCATTTTCGCCTCCGTGGAAATTGCGGCTACCGGCCGGAATTTGATCTCGCGACCTGTGGGTCAGCAACCGAGTGCCTTAAATAATAGATCACCGTGGGGGGTAATGCCTGGTAGTAATGGAGCAGATTCTTAAAAGTCTACATGTATGTTCATAAACGATACTAGCCCTTGAACGGCCTCTAATGACATTCGCTACAGATGTCTCACACTACCTTTGCCCTTCAGCTGCTCTTACGAGCAGTCACATTGTAGAGGCGTAATGGTTGTGTCACTGCGAAGCTGAGAGTGGGGGCAGTTCGATCCCAGACGCCAAAATTAGATGGAAAAAAATGCAAAAAAGACAATAGACTCTTATGAAATCTTCATCTAATCGCTCTGGGGTGCCTTGGTGCTTCATTTCGACCCATCAACATAGCGCTTGGACTCCTCGGTGCAGGTAACGTTGTCTCTGTGCCCACCGGGGCAAACTGTCCGAGATGACACTCGATCGAGGTGGACCTTAAAGAACCGAGCTTGCCAAAGTTCTCCGCTACGGCACGCTTCATATCTATATTTCATTTTTGTACGAGCAACTCAAGAAGTTAACTGAATGGGGGATGGCAATGAGTCTAGATTGTCCTTACCTCTAGTGTGTACTTCTCCATCTCCCGAATCGATTTATAGTAGAGCCGACCCTCGGCTGTTCTAGCGTACCAGAAGTCAGGCCACATCCACGGACGAAAGATGCGTACGCCGATCAAGAACATCAACCTACAATCCATTAGCGGAGAATATTAAAGAAACTGTAATTTTTTGCCGGATTATCATTATCGATGCGCAATATGTGTTGCTGCGTAGAGAGTTCTTATTGCACCGAGAAAGAATCAGAAGAAGACGTAGTCTTTTGAGGTGGCAAAGAAACAAAGCAAAAACTGCATAAAACATATTCTCAAGCAAATCGCCTTTATTAGAATTTGTTACTTCATTTACCTGCGAATCTTCACTTGAATATGTCAAGTTAGGTAACTGTATCTATACTATGCGATATGCTATCCATATATGACTCACAATTATTATCAACTTCTTGCTGACATATTCACAGCTCTGCCATCCCGAACGTTTTTGATATGTGCCAAAGTTCTTGAAAACAAACACTGCTTAAATCAAAATCAATACACAAAAAAAAACAGTCACCTAGAACCTTTCTTTCTTTCGGCATTCAAGCAGGTCACATTTATCATTTTTGCATCTCTGCCACAGTATAAACTCTCCTTCAACAATATTTTGTGTGCTTGGGATGGTACATAAAGGTTGCTCAAATAAATGAAGGCACTGCTCTGATTACTCGACGGGATGACGCACCGTCTGTGATGTCACATGTGGAACTGCTGTCAGAGAGACTGCTACCAAGAGTTTGTTTTCTGCTTTCTAACTTACAGTCCCCCAGGCCTATTTTTCAGTGCAGGGTGGCCTACCGAGCTCAGCCCTGGTTAACCTTCTTGCCTTTATTTTATCGCTATTTTTTATTTCTCTTCTTGTCTTTTTCTCACGTGAGCTGCATGCATGTCTTCCCAAATATACATGGACCGAAAAGTTGACATTAGCAGTACAACCCTAAATGCTTTGAAGGCATACACATTCCTAGGAACTCGAAATATATCTTGTAGATGCCAGATGCATTTGGTTGTACAGATTGTCGACGCATGGCTGTAGAAATACAAGCACTGTAGAGTTGCATGGTAGCTATCAGTGAAGCGCAAACGCTGAGCACATATGCAAAGCGCGACATGGTGACAAGTTTTGAATAAATGTGTTCCCTTGTCTCAGACATCGTATTTCGGCAACAAAGTTGTTCTACGAAACTCTTTGGCCATGGCATACCTGCCGTTGTTTTGTATGGGCTGGTCGCACGACCATGAGAAAAGCGAGCACACACAAGCTGCTGTCTGGTGCCAGCTACCGGGCTTGACAGCATTAGCTGCCATGCGCGCTCCAGAAGCTGCACATCTGGCTCTCCGTATGGGAAGTTTTTTTGAGTGTGTAATTTTTTATTATTCTTTATGAAAAGAGCATGCACGTGCTGTTACGTAGCTATGAGAATTTTTTCTGCTTCAGTGCACCAGTTGCTTAGTGTCGATCTCGGTTACAATTCATCAGTGAGGGCTCACATGATTTCCCTTAATGATAATGACCTTATGTGTTGTCTTTGTTGGCAAATATGGCAAATACTTTCTATAAAACACAACGTACTACAACGAGTTGACATGCCCGAGAGACACATTCAGTGTTGTCAACTCTATACGCATACTCACATGTTAAAGTGGTTGGCGAATATTGGCTCCGTCGTTTCCAGTTGTGAACCCAAGTCGACTCCCATTAAAACTTCTGTAAAGAGGTAGGAAGAGGGCTGTTTGTGACAGGAAAACATTCCCTAAAACATAAAGAGGGGCACACTTCTATGCCATTGAGACGTTGGGCACAGTAAATGCAATACGTGATTCGCAGATAATGTTTTGTGCACTCACTTGTTATCACATCGAGGGCACAGTTTTGGGAAAGACGGAACGCCGGTATGGGCTCCTTCGGGTGCCTTTCGTTCAGCCTGTCCACACGCTCCACAAGCAGCGTGGCGTTGTAGTTGAATGCGCTAATGTAGCTATCCAGGACTTTAAAGTGGAACGCAGGCGTCAACAGGCGCCGCTTGAACCGCCACATGTCACCAACCCTACGATTACGCAGGAAGCAGATGCAAGAAAAATATAATTTTATAAAAGTGAGATTTGAACGTACGGATCTTAATTACAAGCAGCAAATCTAAACAACCAACAAGGACCATTGCAGGGATGGTAAGCCGAAAACAAAATACAAAGTTTGGCTGTCGGGACAGTTTCACTTGTAGTTCGGCTGTGGTGGCATGAATGTGGTAATGGCGGTGGTATTTCCTGTGGTAACGTGGGTGGTTGCTGCTACCAACTTTTCAGTAAAATATGCTCTCCAAGTGCGCACGCAGTGTACTTGTGGTAAGTTAGCATAATCGTCATAGAATATTTCACTCGCGTCCGTTAATCACAATCCAAGGACCCGGTCTGTTTTTTTTTTAGTAGCGTGTACTGCATTATTTGCGTCAAGAAACAAAAAAAAATCGCTCCGAGCAAAAGATAACAAAGTATACGCATATCTTTCAACTTGTTGTGGCGCGGATAAATCTGCCATTGGGTACGCGTATACTTCACTCCGCTAAATATCAGTGAAGCAGTGTTCAGACTTTAACAATAGCCAACACTACTTCATAATGCGCTCATGAATACATCTAATTAGCCGCCATGGTACATGACTGGTCTTTTCATTGAGCTTTGCGGGCAAGAGGACACAGCGTCAATGTCTAGATATTCGGCGTACTCTCGCTGCTTATTCAGAGCGACAAAAAAGTAAAAGAAGAAAGGAACTTGTCTACAGTGCTTCGGCTGCCCACCGATAATCTCCAAATGGCGAAAATGTACAGCACTTTATTATGGCTTCGAACCTGAGTCTGAACCACCTCTGCAGCCTCAAGTAGTTAAGAAAAAACAAATAATATCAGTTCTGCTGCTAGCAGTCTTTATGCTGTCTTTTTCCCACTCACTCCTAATCTGCTACGTTCGACGAACAATCTTTTTTTTAGTCCCTGTTTAATTTTTTGCAAGCTTGGTATTCATAATCTCATACTCGGCAACTATAAGGCACACCTCATAGCCGTTTAGTACTTGTTTAAACATGAGAAAATTATGGTCATCGACACGCCAGCTTTAATATGAATAACAAAGGTAGTTGCACTTACGAGTGTGCTTTACGTATGCTGTCGCTTTCTTGCGCTAAATTGATAGAGTGACATCTACCTGGAATGATAAAAAAAGCGGGCCGCATAATATATTGCCGCATGTTGTTAGGCACCAGCCGAAGTCCTGCGCCGCTTCCTGCTGCTTTGAATTCTGCCACACCAGCGGACAAGCCAAACGCGCCAAGCTATAAACGCGCCATGCAACGCTGGCTGCACGTGTCACCACATCACGCGCTGGACAAGGAACGCTGGCGGTTTTAGGCGAGACGCAATAGAAGTGTAGGAGGTTTTGACCAGTGAGCTCACAACCTTTGTGTATTTAGTTGACGGGCACAAGTTGGCCATTAATAAATAGCTGTTTTAGCTTCCGGCACTGTATTTGTTCGTTACAAACTGGTGGAGGTGCGGGGTATGATTCCAAGCCCATCTCAGCATAGGGAACATAGCCCAGAACCCCGAAGGTTGGAGCCAGCGCTGTTGACTCCCATACACCAACGAACGAATTGTCGCCTACGAGGTGAGCAGCCCGAGTTTGGTGCCCTCTTCTATTCTTCGAGACCAGCGGAGCACGTAAGTTCCGGAGCCCCTGCAATGGCCACCCAAGCGACTTCATTTCCATCGCATATGGTCATGGACCCGCCCCGCATACCAGAGGTATTTCACGGTGATATTTTCGAGGATTCCGAGGACTGGCTCGACGGTTTCGAACGCGTTGCCAGACTGAACGGTTGGAACGAAGACCGGAAACTTCGCTACGTCTACGTGGCACTGCAAGATTCTGCCCGTACGTGGTTAGAAAACCACGAAGCGTCCTTATTATCGTGGGACGACTTTCGAAGAGAGTTTCTTGCTACGTACCCAAACACGGACCGCAAAGAAAAGGCAGAGGCCGCTCTTCAGACGCGAAACCAACGGAACAACGAGAGCGTCGCCATGTACATTGAAGACATGTCTCGACTGTTCCGCCGGGCCGACCAGAACATGGCTGAGGAAAAGAAGTTGCGGCACCTGATGCGTGGAGTGAAGGAGGAGCTCTTTGCAGGCCTGGTGCGTAATCCACCGCGCTCTCTTGCTGAGTTCAGATCAGAGGCGACCATGATAGAAAAGACCCTGCAGCAGCGCGCGCGCCAATACAACAGGGTCGTAAGTGTCTCATCTGTTAGCACGTCCTCGACATCCTCACGAGTAACATTGATCTCTTGCGTGAAATGGTGAGGCTGTCGTAAGGGAAGAACTGCAGAAAATACACATGACTCAAGCTCATCCAGCGATGTCCTCACTTGCCGACGTTGTGCGCGAAGAAGTGCGGCAAGTGGCTCTACAACCACAACCTCAGGTACTACAGCGCGCACAACCGGAGCCTCCTCCTCAGTTGTCGTACGCGCAAGCTGTACGACGGGACCTCGGACGCAATAATCGGACGGCTGCGACTGCTGTGATGCCTCCGACGTTTTCTCCGAGTACGTCACTACCAATGCCGGAAGCAAGACCACGTGAGAGCGATGTATGGCGCACTGTAGACCGGCGGCCCCTTTGCTACCACTGCGGAGAAGCAGGTCACCTTTACCGGGCGTGCCAGTATGGTCGAGCGGGACGGCCTGGTTTTCCAGTCAATGCACCATGCCCACGGAACGGTGAACGGCCCTACGAAATCGAAGAATACCTGTCTTCACGCTATTCACCTCAAGACACGCAACAACGGCAGTCGCGTTCGACAGCACCGATGCGCTATCGGTCGCCGAGTCCTCGTCCGTCATCAAATCTCCGAAGATCACGTTCACCTAGCCCGCGGCGGAAAAACTAGAGCCAGCGACCTCTGGAGGTGAGGCCGCTGATATACTGACAACTGAAGACCCTCCATTGCTAGCCCAACAGGATGGTGGCAGTTACGCAACGACGGTCAAGTGCAGTAGTAGCGACGTTATCTCCGAGATATTAGTCACGATCGACGACGTCGAGGCCGTTGCGCTAATAGACACCGGTGCAGACTATTCCGTTGTCAGTAATGCTCTCGCGAAAAAGCTTAAGAAGGTGATGACTGAGTGGACCGGACCTCAGATACGTACCGCTGGAGGGCACTTAGTCCCGTGGGGTTATGCACCGCAAGGATAAGAATAAGAGGATTTGTGTATGTCGGCAGCTTTATTGTGCTTCCTGAGTGCTCCCGGGAACTGATTATAGGCATGGACTTTTTGCAAACAAACAATGCAGTCATTGACTTGCAAGAGTCCCAGGTTTCGTTTTCTACGAAGAATGCCATCGCCTTCTGTCATTCGGAGAAACCAACCGTTCTACCTCTCCGCATTGTGGACGAAGATGTAACCGTGCCGCCACGTTCCAGTGTGACCATTCTTGTCAGGAGTGAAGTTGTTCGTGACTGTGACGGATTAGCTGACGGAAACATCGGACTGCTACTAGAAAAAGGACTATGCGTGGCAAGAGGCCTGGTGAGCCTTCGTCATGGATGTGCGTATGTCCTATTAACTAACTTTCAAAATGAGCTGCAGCATGTTGCGAAGGGAACATCCGTAGCATCGCTACATGAGTACGTGCAAGTCTCAGATGTTTGCACTCTTGATAAAGCTTCAGAGACAGCAGATAACGTACTCCAGTCAGTAGACATTGACAGACACCTCTCGTCATCTCAGAAGCAACAGATTGCTGACCTCATCAGAGAGTTCGCCGAGTGCTTCTCCACCTCGTCGAAAGTCGGACGTACTCCCGTCGCAAAGCACCGTGTCGTGGTCGAAGAACACGTGAGACCTGTGCATCAGCGCCCATACTGAGTAGCGCAAAAAAAAGGGAAGCCATCAAGAACCAAGTGCAGGAAATGCTCAACGATGATGTAATCCAGCCATCCAACAGTCCGTGGGCATCACCGGTAGTGCTAGTCAAAAAGAAGGACAACACTCTGCGGTTTTGCGTTGACTACAGAAAGCTAAACCAAGTCACAAAGCGTGATGTTTACCCACTTCCTCGGATCGATGACGCCTTGGATAAGTTACGCAATGCTCACCTCTTTTCATCATTGGACTTAAAAAGTGGATATTGGCAGATCGAGGTGGACGAACGAGATCGCGAGAAGACGGCGTTTGTGACCCCAGACGGACTATACGAGTTCAAAGTGCTCCCTTTCGGTTTGTGCTCTGCTCCCGCTACCTTCCAGAGGATGATGGACGCTGTGCTCTCCGGACTCAAGTGGCAATCGTGTCTCGTCTAACTCGACAATGTAGTGGTTTTTCTTCTACCTTCGAGCAGCACATCCACCGACTGAGACTGGTACTGGATGCCATTCGCGTGGCAGCACTGACCATCAAACAGCAAAAGTGTCACTTTGGATTTCGTCAGCTTCGGTTCCTCGGGCACATAGTTAGTGCGGAAGGCGTCTGCCCAGACCCAGAAAAGATTGCAGCAGTTGAAAATTTCCCGAAACCGCAAGACAAAAAGGCCGTCAGACGATTCCTGGGACTATGTGCCTACTACAGACGCTTTGTTGAAAACTTTGCTAAGGTCGCTGAGCCTTTAACACGGCTAACGAAAGAAAGTGTACCATTCTCTTGGCGGGAGCAACAAGAAGCGGCTTTCTCAGAGTTGCGACGCCGTTTACAGTCTCCTCCAATACTTGCCCATTTTGACGAAGAGGCCGATACAGACATACATACCGACGCGAGTAACGTTGGCCTCGGCGCCGTCCTCGTTCAGTGGCAGAATAGAAAGAAAAGGTCATTGCTTACGCGAGCCGCACTCTATCAAATGCTGAGTCTAATTACTCAGCGACAGAGAAGAAGTGTCTCGCAGTTATATGGGCCATCAGCAAGTTTCACCCATACCTCTACGGCAGACCGTTTCGAGCAATCAGTGATCATCATTCATTGTGTTGGCTGGCAAACATCAAGGACCCTTCAGGAAGACTTGCTAGATGGAGCCTGCGTCTGCAGGAACACGACATCACTGTGGTCTACAAGTCCGGCCTTAAGCACAATGACGCGGATTGCCTGTCTCGCGCACCTGTTGAGTCTCCATCATTTGACCAAGAACAAAACATCCCATTTCTTGGAGTTCTGAATGTGTCGGAGATGGCTCGTCTTCAGCGAGAGGACCCGGAACTACGCCCGCTTATCCAATACTTGGAGGGTCACCAAATTGAGGTACCACGAGTTTTCGTCCGTGGTTTGACATCCCATGTCCTCCGGAACGACGTCCTATACAAGCGCAACTTCGTAAACACCGGTGAGACGTTTTTGCTTCTTGTACCATCATCACTGCGAGCAGAAATCTTAGAAGCGTGTCATGACGACCCATCGGCTGGCCATATGGGTAGTAGCCGCACTTTGGCCAGAATTCGCCGCGAGTATTATTGGCCGAAGTTAAGGGATGCGGTGCACCATTATGTTAAGTAATGCCGCGATTGCCAGAGACGTAAAATACCACCATCGAAACCAGCGGGTCTGTTGCAACCAATACAGCCACCAAAAGGGCCATTTCAGCAAGTGAGAATGGATTTGCTTGGTCCATTTCCTCTCTCTTTATCGGGAAAGCGCTGGATTGTTGTAGCAACAGACTACATGACTCGATATGGTGAGACATCACCTCTCGCGAAAAGAATGGCAAACGAAGTAGCCCAGTTTTTCGTCACTCAGATTGTACTACGACATGGCGCACCACAGGTTGTCATTAAAGACAAAGAAACAGCATTTACTGCCCTTTTGATGCAGTCTGTTATGAAGCTCACCTACACCGATTATAGAAAGACTACAGCATACCATCCGCAAACAAACGGATTAACCGAAAGGCTCAATAGAACTCTCGCCGACATGATCTCGATGTATGTGGACGTTGAGCACCAGACATGGGACAGTATTTTGCCTTATGCAACATTTGCGTATAATACCGCAGTACAAGAAACGACACACTTCACGCCATTTCAATTTGTTTATGGTCGGACGGTCACAACGACCTTAGACGCGATGTTACCTGCCAACGATTCGAATGAGAGTGACCCACACATCAGCGACTACATAGAAAGGGCAGAAGAGGCACGGCAATTGGCAAGACATCGTATCATTTTGCAACAAGGCTCCGATGCAAGTCGCTATAATCTGAAGCGGAGAAACGTACAGTACAACCCCGGAGACAAAGTGTGGGTGTGGACGCCTATACGCGCACCTGGCCTATCGGAAAAACTGATGCGGCGCTATTTCGGCCCTTACAAAGTACTTCGCCAGTTAGGCACGCTAAACTACGAAGTAATTCCTGAAGGACAAGTGTGCTCAACCCGACGCAGGAATCACCCAGAAGTCGTACATGTAGTACGAATGAAACCGTACTACGAAAGGCACTGAACGAGACAACTGATAAATGTGCTCAAACATCAGATAAATACTCCTTCACAAAACTGTTCGACGTCAGCGTACGCATCGGGACGATGCGTTTCAGGAGGGGGACTAATGCCGCATGTTGTTAGGCACCAGCCGAAGTCCTGCGCCGCTTCCTGCTGCTTTGAATTCTGCCACACCAACGGACAAGCCAAACGCGCCAAGCTATAAACGCGCCATGCAACGCTGGCTTCACGTGTCACCACATCACGCGCTGGACAAGGAACGCTGGCGGTTTTTCGAGGAGCAGCTTGAGGCGAGACGCAACAGAAGTTGACGAGGTTTTGACCAGTGAGCTCACAACTTTTGTGTATTTAGTTGACGGGCCAAAGTTGGCCATTATAAAATAGCTGTTTTAGCTTCCGGCACTGTATTTGTTCGTTACAATATATTGATGACTTTTTCTATCACGCCGCATTTTCACGCCTCTCCGGTTTAACCATTGATCGATGCGTGGCAGCCAAATTTATCGACAGGGTTAACAGACCGTGAGTGGTGAATAGAATCAATATAAAAGAAAGCAGGACCATCGCTTCGGCTACATATCACACTTCAACACAGCGCATTAGCTCAGTTGTGTGTAAAAAAGACGTTTAAGATGCTGCAAATGCTGAATCTGTTTTAGTTTATCGATACTTACGTGGTTAGCGTATTGTGTTCTCCCAGCCACGACGCAAGGAATTTGTACACGATAGGCTTGCGCAGGTTTGTCTTGCTCGTCAAAAGAGTCTGAAGTGACAAAAAGTCTCAATTTTGGTTAAAAATGATCACAGACCCCCCAAAAAGCACGAAGAACACGTTATCAATAAAAGAGGTCAAGTGAAAAAAATTGTAGTGCGTGTGACAGCATCACTAAAATCAAACATATCCACTGCTCTGGTCGATCACGAAGAAACACTGATTTACTGGCAGACTATGGTCTTGTAGAGCCAGGATGTACGAGACAGACGCGTCCATTTAGTAACAACGTCGACTTTATTCTGACAAACAGAAAGTCCGAAAAAGAGCAGGTGCACGCAGTTCACCGGAAGTGGCAAGAGTAAAAGAGACGAACGAGAAATAGAGAGGTGAGCAGCACGTTGCTTGAAATGTTTCTCCACAGGGTTTTATGACCGCGGGAAGCGTGGTGGCGGCCGCGTCGCTACAGATTGCTCTCCGCTTACCCCTAATTACGCATTGGCTTTTTACAACGGCCGGAAATCTTCTGCCACCGAAATACAGCGTTTTTCGCACTGGACGCGCCCAGCACCGCTGAATATGCCATCTACCACGGGGCGAACGCGGGATGAATGCGCTGTCACCCGGTTCTTGTCGCGGTTTGCAAACGCCATTACGCTATCCGGTGGTATATACTTCGATGATTCTCGTACGCAAGAAGCAAGAAGTAACACTACTCTTTACTTTGCTGGCAAGTCACTCTTTCGTAATGCATGAAGAGCAGGAAAAATCTGCCGACGCCAGTGGCGTGGGTGGGTACGTCTTGCTCTGCAAGATCACGACAAGCTCGGTCACTACTTCCACAAAATAGGGGTGTGAAGTAGGCACAAAGTAAGTTAAACTGCAGTTGCTTACAACATTAAGTTACGTTCACTGCGACATGACAAGCGAGTCGTGCTTGGGCGCCATTTTTCAGAATTCATTGACTAGCGCTCCTATCGGTCTACGGTGACCGATTTTGCAGCAGACGCCGCAAAAATCAGTCCGAGAGCGATCGGCACGGAGAGGGCTCTTTCGGCAAATCTCGCCGCCAATTTTCGGTGGCCGAAATGCTCAGTGTGAATGCACCCTTAGAGAGGACGCTGGGGCGACGAACGATTCTCAGTTGAAGTGTCATCCCAGTGAACGCGGTGCAGAGGTGGTGACGGGTCGAAGACTGGCGTGGAGAGGCCCTCGTGTCCAGCGGAGGGAGGCACAGCTAGGCAATTAAGAATGGGCGCTTCACTGAACGCTGGCTTGAGCCGTTCGACCACGATTGTATCGTGTGCCCTATTAATGTCGATGACGAAGTTAGCAGGACAGCGCTATAACACACTGAAGAGGGCCCTGGTAGTGTGGCTTAAGCGGGGCGCACATAGAATCGTACCGCACAAACACGTGTGTTGCTCTGTTTAGATTCTGAGCGATGTACACTGCACGTGGCTGGCTGCGTGTAGGCTGCGGAGATGGTCGACGTACTCTGTTGCTGTTAACTGGGTGGCACTGCCGCTTTCTTCGAAAAAATCAGCAGGCAGGCGAAGCGAAGGGCCATAAACAAGCTCGGAAGTAGAACAGGGGAGCTTCTCCTTGAAAGAAGATCTAACTCCGAGTAGCGTGAGTGGGAGCGGTTGCACCGACCCACCGGCAGGGGCAACTGTGTGCTGTGGGTGCTGCTTTGAGGTGCCGGTAGAATCTCTCGACGAGGCCGTTTGTGTGCGGATAGTATGACACTGTACGTAAGCGTGAAATAACAAAAACGTTTCAGGAGCTCCGACAAAAGGGAAGATTGAAACTGATGACCCCGGTCCGATACTATCAATGTCGGACAGCCAAATTGGGCTATCCAGGTAGAGACAAAAGCTGCTGCGTAGGTAGCTGCAGACATGTGCATAGGAGTCACTTCGGGCCAGCGGGTGAAATGATCTACGCATGTCAGAAGGTAGCGATAGCCTTGACTTGGGGATAATGGGCCAACAATGTCAATATGCACAACGATGAAACATTCGTCGGGTTGCACGAAGGGCTTTTATGGAGGAACGGGGTACCGTTGAACTTTGGCGCGCTGACACGATACACATTCAAGAATCCAGTCCCTGATGTTGGCGTTCATGCCGACCAGACAAAACTTGAAGAAATAAGCTGTTGGGAAGTGCGAATTTCGGGGGAAAAGAATGTCATAGGCATCGAATATTTGCTTACGGAAAGGGTTGGTTAGAAATGGTCTGGGCGTGCCTGTGGAGGTGTCCCAAATAATTGGCACATGTTCAAAGGCGATGGGTTCGAGCTGAAGTGCTGTGGACGCTTCGCGTAGGTGTTCAAGCTCGGTGTCTTTTCATTAGGCTGCAGCCAGATGCTGAAGTTTAAATGGAAAGGATCTTGAGGTGGAGGTTTTGGAGCAACTGCAGGTGTGGCATCCACACGACTGAAAGCGTCAGCTTGAGCGTTGTCAACACCGCTGATGTGGCATATATTAGTTGAAAGCTCCGAGATGAAGGCAAGCTGGCACACCTGGTGTGGTGTGTATAGTGAGTCAGATCGGCTGAAGGAATACGTAAGAGGTTTGTGATGTGTGAGAATTGTAAAAAAGCGGCCTTCAAGTAGGTGTCGAAATTGGCACACGGCGAGAAAGAAGGCGAGCAACTCATGGTCGAAAACGCTGTAGTTTCTCTGGGCAGAGATCATACGCTTGGAGAAAAAGGCAAGGGGCTGCCACTGATCGTTCACTTTTTGCTGAAGTACGGCCCCAATCACAAAACAAGATGCATCCGTCATGAGCGCCGAGGGGTAACTGGGATTATGGTGCGTCAGCAGTGTGGCTTCAGCCAAAGTAATCTTGATGAAGTTGAAAGCTTCTTCCGCAGTGGTGTTCCAAGGTAGTGCAGTTTTCGAGGATTTCCTACCGCGCAAATTCTCAAGGGGCTCCAACAGGGGCACAGTTCCAAATTAATTGTTGGTAGAAATTTTCAAGCCCTAGAAACTGGTGCATCTTGGTTATTGATGTAGGCTTGGGGAACTCGACAATTGCTTGCGCTTTGTCAGGAAGGGGGCAAATTCCATTGCTGTCCAAGCGGTGACCCAGAAAATCAAGAGATGACACTCTTAGCTCACGTTTTGCAGTGTTCACAACAATTCCGTTAGCTCACAGGTCCTCGAAAAGTTGACCGAGATATTGCAAGTGCTCCTCGTGGGATGAGCTTGCCACCAGCAGGTCGTTGACGTAGGCGAACACAAATGGCAGACAATGTATGACCGTGTCAATGAACCGCTGGGACGTTTGTGCAGCATTGCAGAAACCGAATGACATTCTCAGTAACTCGAAAAGGCTAAATGGCGTATTATTGCCGTCTTTAGATCATCTGCTGCAGCAACAAGAATTTGGTGAAAGGCTTTGACTAAGTCGATTTTAGAGAACACTGTTGTCCCATAGAGAGCTGATGTCAAATCCTGAATGTTAGGCAGCGGATACCAGTCGGGAATAGTGTTTGCGTTCAGCAAATGGTAGTCTCCAAAGGTCTTCAACAACCTGAATTTTTGGGGGTGAGGTGGAGAGGAGACGCCCAGCTGCTCGATGATGGTCGCATTATTCCAAGTTCCAACATGTGTTCAAACTCAGTCCTGGCTTCTTTCAGCTTATCTGGAGCAAGTCGCCATGAGCGAGTGAAAACAGGTAGACCAGTGGTGATGATATTGGGGCAGACGTCATGTTGCGCGGGTGTAGTCCAGTCAGGCGGTTGCGTGATGTTCGGGACTTCTCGAAGAAGTCCTGCGAAACGGTCATAGGCCACTGTTGTAGTTGGGGCGATTATGTTCGAGTCATGACAAACAACACCATGGACAGAGTGCAGTGTAGTAGTGTCTACCAGGTGTTGTCATTTCACGTCGACTAGCAGACCATGGTGGTTTAAGAAGTCGGCCCCAATGAGGGCACGGCGTACGTCAGCGACGAGGAAAAGCTAACAAAAAACGCGGCGCAGGCCTATAGGTTCAGAGTAAATTACCACGATTTGTATTCCGGGATCTTAGTACCGTTGACAGCTTGCAGGTAGAAGATTGGGGATATTTTTCGGTCGAAGTTTTGAGCCAGAATAATGCTAACCTCTACACTAGTGTTCACCAGACACTGCTGGCCCATGATTTTGTCCATGACGTGAAACAGGCAACTTTTGGGTTGACCTCGACCAGTTACTGCCGTCAATGGTCGGCCTACCTGTTTTTCTACCTCGAGCAAGGTTGGAGGTAGTGACGCGCGTCCTGTCCAAAATGGCGATGGTAATAGCATATCCCAGGTGGTGTGGGGGACCAAGAGCGTTGTGCGCGTCCGTAACGCGGGAAGCTTCGACAGCGGTTTCGGTAACGTGGAGTGGTGTAATGACGCTCCCCGGCACAAACCAGTTGTTCTAGGCGATCGAAAACGCGTCAATGGGAGAAACATTGTCAGATGGTGTTTGTGAAGTGGCATTCGCGCTGTTGAATGATGGCGTGACGTTGCACACAGACGGCGTGACCATCTCCAAGACCTTGTCCGCCAGGCTGGCCAAACCGTTCTTTCCAACATGGACGCACTGGCTAGTACCATTCGCACATTGCCAGCTAGGAAGGTGCTGCAGAAAAGATTTTCACAACAATTTCTCGTCAGTGGTGGTGGTGTAGGCGCTCATCAGCTGACACATGTGACGAAGAAGCTGGCTGGGCTGGTGGTCACCTAATTCCTCCGCGAAGAGCAAGTGCTGTCTGCGGGAATGCTGTGATGCCGTTGTTCGCTCAAGTAGAGCAGCCTTGAGAGTGCGTCACGGTGTGCTGGAGAGGGGTCCGGAAAGCAGGTCAGATACTTCTTCGGCAGCAGCTGGTGACAGCGCGGAAACAACGAGATTGTACTTGCCTTGGTCCGTGAGCACGCCAGAAAGCACGAATTGTGACTCAGCTTGAATGAACTAGATCGAACGGTTGCGGTCCCACTAAGCTGGTAGTCTGAGGGAGATCGCAGAGACGTCATGATCGGTCGTGCCAGTAGCTTCCGTGTTTAGGTGCGTCTCGTTGCTCTGCATGACTATACAATTCTTTGTCAGTGCCGTGAAGGCCTTCGGGTTACCAATTTGTAGAGCTAAGTTGTACAAGACGGACACTTCTTTTCAGTAACAACGTCTACTTTATTCTGGCAACCACAAAGTCAAAAATAGAGCAGGTGTACGAAGTGCACCGGAAGTGGCAAGAGTGGAAGAGACCAAGGAGAAACTGAGAGGAGGGTATCATGTTGCATGGAATGCTGCTCCGCAGGTTCTTATGACCGCGGGGTGCGTGGTGGCAGCTGCTTCGCTACAGTCTAAAGTTCTTCATAGCAAGATCAGCTACGAGCTGTTCAGAGAGTTCTATATGGCACCGCAAGGCTCAGTATGATGGTACCAATGTGAACGGGGCCTGCCTCAGTTTGAAAGGCTGGGCTTGAAGACTCTCAATAATGTTTTGTTACTAATCAACCCTTTTTAGTAATTATTGAGTGGCGTCAGTAATGGATTTTATTGCTTCGTGAATATATTGCCGCAACAGTTTCTCTAATTCTCAAGAAACGGCGGAACATGGGGTTGTTGCATGCTTTAAGCGCTGTCTCTCTTCTCTCGTTCCCACGAGCTCCCTGGAAGCTACAAAAGGATGTATGACACTGTTTGCATCTGTTTGAAAGGAGGAGGCTAAAAAATGTGAACTTCCCACTCTGCTAGTAAACTCTCTTAGCTGCGTAGATCTCCAAGATATATCTATCATGGCAGTACATCATTATTTACAGCTTCCTATGCTCGCTGATACTGTTGATAATTTTTTACATATTAGCGACACGTAAAATAATCCGGCGAACTGCACAACACACTTTAGGGGACATACTTGAATTAGCCCGAGTGAGAAATTTCGAAAATTAGTCGGGCTCAATTCACAATCTGTGTTATACTGCATAACAACGTGAATGAATGCTACACGTGACAAAGAAAGCAACTGTCGATTTACTAATGATATTCTTCGACTTAAAAAGGCGAATGTGTTATGCAGGCTCAACGGTTGGCGGCACCATAGCAGGCCTTGTAAGCATGAGCTGCTACCAGAGGTGTACTACGTCATGATCCTTTGGACGCCACTGCTTCGGCTATCCCTCACACTTCTGGGCAGCGCATTCACTCAGTTGTACAGTTGTATATAAAAAGACATTTCGACATATATAACGACATTTCAAAAATTCCCTTTGTGTCATGCGCTACATGCTCAATTCTACCGATGTCCTTATTGCATCGAAACTTATCTGCGGCGTTCCGACTGTATTTTTCCCGGGATTAAGGCACGGCCGTCTCACATCAAAGAAATTAGAACTGGGGGAAATAATTCAGCTGTATTTTATTACTGCCGATCACCGTAACCACGTTGCGAACTCTACTAGCTCAAGTTATTCTGATCTCAAGATATAATAATAAAAGAAGTTGTTGCTTACTTAGTTCAGGTCATGAATTAAGGTAGAATTTTGTTGGGTGGCCGCAAGGACAGCGCCAGAAATTGTTTAAACGTGTATCGTAGTCGCAGAAGCTGGTCATCTTAATGCTCAACAAATAAAAGCGATGACCCGCGGACCCCTCCTTATTTTCTGCTTGGAACGAGAAAACACAGAAGCAATGACTTAGACGCTTTTATGTGCTTTTTTTTCTTGTGAGTTCATTGTTCGGGAGTGGGGAAAAAATGGGGAAAATTCACAACCTGTTCTCAACTGCATTTACCTGCACGGCATCTGGAGTGTGCAGTACTACAACCGGCGTCATCCCTAGGTAGGCTTTGAAGGTCGTTCCGCTGTACTGTTGACACACGTCGCAAATTATCTGAAAGAACACTGCATGCAACATAGAGGAGGAAAGTTACAGGAGCGTTGGGTAATGGCGGGCAAAGAAACCACATACTCGCACACTATAATAATGGACTTCCACACACTGCCTAGCAAGTTAAGAACACACAAAATCGCTGCGAAATTTGCCTAAAATTTTACACCACATATATGCCTTCTATTCTGCGTTTTGTCAGGAAAGCCATACAGTTCATTGTCTCCCGACCCCGTAGTATAGTGCTTCTTTGATAATATCGCTCTTTCTTTTACATATATGTATGAATACGTTCATCAGGCTGAATAAAGGTATATCAATTGATCTTCCGGAAAAATGCGTTCACCATAAGATCTAATTAGCATTTTTCCTGCGCTGCCGTCACTGCTGTAGGGAGCACTGTAGCAGTTCCAGGGTGTTACATTGCTTCAATCTTGTCGAGAAAGGGGGGGGAGGGGTATGTTTGCCGCGCCTGTTGCCTGCATCAGTTTCAGTTGAAGTTTATTACTTACTTAATCATCAAGTACATAACACGTCTACACAGACGAGAGTCCCAGAGTACGAACACTTAAAATGGGACCCTAAGTTAAAACTACAACAAAAGTGAATTGAAAACCATTGACAGAAGGTTAGCAGGGGATAATAATAATCCTATATGAGTCAGAACAAGCAGAAACATTCTGGAACAGTTTAAACAAAAAATGAAATATTACAATGAATAAAAAGACAGACTGCTAAACATATTATAAAAACCAATGCAATGCAAGGTCAAATACGACACATAGATTAATTACAGAATAAATTAGAAAATGTACACAAAACTACAAATTGAGAAAAATGAAAAAAAAAATTCTCCAGGAAAACTAAATATAAACCCTTACAAAAGAAGCGAAGGCACATAGAAGAAATTATTTACCATAACTAAAGTGACCAACCAGAAGTTAACTGGACAGCTTTTATTGCTGTTTCAAAATTGAAAATCTCTGTACAAATTTAAGATCAGCCGGCAGGCTATTCCAAAACTAATGGTAGAGAATTTGGATGATTTCTTATCGTAGTTAGGGCGAATGGGCGGTAGCAGGTGATTATGATTAGAAGAAAATCTGGTGGCGTTAGTATTCTTGAGGGAGCTACATTGAATATATAGAAAGGAGAGCTGCAAAAAAAGTAACTTAGAAAACATTAAATATACGTTACACTGAAACAGCGTTTTTAACCGATGAAGTATTATGCTTATTAAGGAGGCTAAAGGCATCTGAAGGCGAAGAACTGTAAAATGTAATGCGTATAATTTGAACTTTAAACATGCTCGATGGAACGAAGATAAAAATAATAATAGGTATTGCCCCAAGCGATTACGCCATACGTAATATTTAAATGAATAAATGCAAAAGTAAAGTGAAGACAATGCACGAGGTGAAAAACACTGACGTGCCTTGATAAGCGCCCGGACACCGAA